CAACTGCCCCAGCTGCCTTAACAGCGTGGCAAGGAGGTCGTCCTTCCTCACACTCCCCTCCTCTTCCCCCACGGCACAACGATCCAAAGCGGCCATTTTCCTTGGTCTCTAGCGGGAGCACGATCGGCACGACCTTCTCCAAGCTGGGTCAGAGGTCAGCTATATTGTTACAAGTAGTTGCGGTTACCTACGTGTGTGTTTGTATGCGTACTCGTTTTGGTGGTTGGGTTTAATTTTAGCGTTTCTAAATGTTTTGAATGTAAAGTGTGCTGCCATATAATGATATTGTTATATGATGCTCTGTGTAATGTAATGTTTTTCGTGGAGACCTGTTATGTAATGGTCACCATGCTCGCCTCGCAAGCGGGCGGATCCCGGGTTCGATCCCCGGGCGAGGTGAAACTATGGACAAGTTTCTTTACTCCATTTGCCTTTGTAATTGGGAACCTGGATGTTAATCGATTTGCAGATCGTCTTTTGGGGTAATGGTTAGCCAATGCAGTTGGCGAGTTGTCCGGTCTTCTCTGACTATTCCTTGACACTGGGTCATGCAGCTCGTTAACTTGGTGTTTGGTTGTTGTGTTGGCGACAGATTCTACATCTTGAACAAATTCACGTCAGGATTCCCAGCATGGCAGACATACATTTGCTGAACTTGGGGAACATTTATTCACGTTTTTAGGTGACTATTGGTTGTGTATTTGTGTTATATATGTGTATTGAGAGTTGAAGAATTAGATTACTGTGACTAGGTTTGTCAGGAAGAGTTGAACCAGAGACTTTGATTGATCAAGGTCCAGCTTATGACATACCATATACTAGTTTATTTTATCTTTAATTTATCATCTGTTAAGCAGAGTGCCACTGACATTGTTGTTCACAGTAAATTCACTTTATTTATTATAAGGGTGAGGTAAAATTTTGAAATGTGAACCCTTACCCTCCCTCTGAAGCAGTCAACGAACCTGCCCATATCTTGTCGTTACCTCTACTCCCAGGATCTTAAAAGTACTGGTATAATAAGTTACTAATCCCATGTCCATATCCATATTGTAATATACCTTTTAGCCGTTAAACTATTAAAATGTTATATGATTTCACAAGACCCTAAACCAAAGCTGCACTTAATTAATGATGGGTTTATCAAATTTCAACTGAACCCATAAGCATTTTAGGAGCTCTGTGTGCCATTTGGCCCTCCTGTGCAACATTGCAAAACATGGCGTAACAGTATCCATGTGGCTGCTGCACCCAGCCCATAACTAGAAGTCATTAAAAAGAATGTTATATCCTCTATTTAGGTTAACCTTTAGCAGAATTTTATAATAATATATTTCGAAGTGTATAGAAGCAGCGAAGAATGACGAAAATGATTCCGGGATTTAGAAACCTTCCATATCAAGATATATTAAAGAAACTAAACTTGCATTCCCTAGAAAGACGAAGTGTGCGGGGAGATATGAAAGAAGTATTTAAGTGGGTGAAAAGAATCAATAAAGGAAATTTAGATAAAGTTCTTATAATATCCGAGCAAGATAGGACTCGTAGCAACGGATTTAAGTTGGATAAGGAACTGGTTTACAAATAGGGTGGTACATGGGTGGAACAAGCCATATGGCATCACGAAAATTGTGACCAAGTCCCAGGTTGCTCATCTGACTTTCTGCTTCATTTACACGCAATTGCAGGGTCTCAATTGTTTCTCTTACCATTGACAACACAACATGCATATATCGTTTCTCACTTTTGATCTTTTTTTTCATTTTTGTATTTATAGTTCTTTATTATTACTATTATTATTATTACAGTTACTGTATTATTATCATCATTATTTTATTATTTTATTTTGTTTGTTTTATCATAAACTTATTTATTATGAATTATTATGACATTATTTATTATTATTATTATTATTATTATTATTATTATTATTATTATTATTATTATTATTATTATTATAATTAATTGGAAAGTTTTAAGAAGGCTAGATAGATTCATGGATGATAGAGAGTGGTAGTAACTCTCGACAGGAGCTGCCATGCACAATTGCACAGGCCACCCGGCCTATTGCAGACTCCTTATGTTCTTATGTTATAGGGAATTTGTGTAACCGGTGATTTCATCTAATTCCCAGGGATTTTAGGGAATACGTGAAATCACTGATTACACAAATTCCCTGTAACATAATATAAGAATATATTAAGCAAACGTCACCTCCTGGACCAACGCCAAACAAGGGAACTGTACAGCCACCCTGGACCGACCCCTTGTTAAAACTGCCATTCCTATGTCCAATTCAGATAAAACGAGACCTTCAGTGGCTTTATGTGGTCCCCTTCCCCAGAGTATCAACGGTATTCCTGTAATTCTGAGTTTTGACCCAAGATTTATCTTTTAAGCTGATTACCTTTGACCTTGAGCATTTGACCTGCCTTGAAATGCAACACAACACGACAATTATGATAACCCCCAAATCCCAGTAAAAGGCGCCACCTAAATTTAGCGGTGATGATAATGATGTTCTATAGCTGAAGCGTCAATCACCCATCATCAGAGAGTGCAACAATGAAGCATCAATCACACATAACTAGAGATTGTAACAATGTGCTCTGTATATTCATTTCCTTGTACTAATCAAGCCAAGGATTCACATGACCAGGTTGATATTTCCGAGTCACTACTTGCTGTCAGTAAGGCCATCCAAGTCTTACCTAAGTATGATAAAGTCAACTTTTGTTTTAGTCAGTCACGTAACAACACATATATTGAAACTTTGAGGTTATTTCACTGTTAATGTCAAAATTAGCACCGCCCAGCGCTTTGCGTCACACCTGGTGTACAATATAAATCAAAGACTAAAAAAATATAATAAAAAGAGAAGCCAAAGCACTAGACCGTTATAGTTCATAAATTTCAGCTTCCTAACTCAAACAAAGCCTGAGGTATCGCACAGACAAACAGGAAAACAAAGAGTTATACTTGTGTCAGTACCTGGAGACAGAATGGAATAGGGAGTGGGACAGTATATAAATATTGGGGGAAAATTCGTATATATTTCTGTATTGGTCGTTTGGGAGGATTACTGTGTATCACAATATCATAGAGAGCATCATGAAAGATATTATTACCAATATTGTTCTTCAAACGCAGAAACCAATAACAATAACATCATAACAGTATATCACTTCGCTGTTGATCAAACATATACAAGTTAAATCCCTGATGCCGTTATAAGCCTCAGGTTATTACTGAGAGCAAAGTCGGCAGTAAAACGTAATAGGATTTTATGAATATTAAGTGAAGATTTTATCAGCAGCTGATAGAGGTGACCAACCTGTATTACCAGCCTGTATTACCACCACCAGGCTAGGGAGTACCTGTGTCAGGTACAGGTGACCAGCCAGGTGTTGACATACTGTACATCACCACCACCAGGCTAGGGAGTACCTGTGTCAGGTACAGGTGATCAGCCAGGTGTTGACATACTATACATCACCACCACCAGGCGAGTGAGTACCTCTGTCAGGTACAGGTGACCAGCCAGGTGTTGACAGACTGTACATCACCACCACCCAGGTTAGTGAGTACCTCTGTCAGGTACAGGTGATCAGCCAGGTGTTGACATACTATACATCACCACCACCCAGGTTAGTGAGTACCTCTGTCAGGTACAGGTGATCAGCCAGGTGTTGACATACTATACATCACCACCACCCAGGTTAGTGAGTACCTGTGTCAGGTACAGGTGACCAGGCAGGTGTTGACATAGAGTACAGTTCTCAAAAAGTCCGTGTCCTCGGAAATCAGAATGAACTGCTAAAATGAACCCTGTGAGTCGTCTGGATTAGTTTTGAAGTTCACCCCATAGTTGGCGTTTCTTACAACATGGCGCCTAGTATAGCTGCCGGGAGTGTCCCAACAGGTGGAGCTATTCACGCCTGGCGACTTCATACACGAATTACTAATATGAGAGAAATATTAAATTATAATAAAAACATATTATTATGAGACTAATATTGTAGAAACTAATATTTGGTTACTATACTCCCCTGTAGTGAATGTATTGAGAAACGTTACCACGCAAGTTTGTACATTATGTAGTGTCACTGTTTGGAATTACTTATTGATTGTAGCTTTTCTTTTCATGTCAGACCTGTCATTAATATTATGTTGTAATGAATCGACAGTTTATCACATTTTACATCTTTAACATTAAGTGAGCAAAACCTGATGACTGTCGTATCTGTAAGTTCGTAACTTGGGAACTAGTAATTATGAAAGGTTAAAATTGTATATCTTGAGGCTCACTTCTTCTAGGCTTCTGCTTCTACAGTGACTCTATGTGGAACAATTTTCCGAATATTTAATAATTTCTGAGGAGCAGCATCTGACTAAAGACCACTGTAGTGCACAAACTCCACCTGGTGTCGAGCAAGTTTGTTTTCAATTAATCCATTTTTTGTGCCTATCTTGTAAGGCTCTAAGCACCTTCAACCATAGAAAGCCCATCTGGTAAGGTGCCATTTTGATGGTTTCATGGCAGGTGTTATTCATTACACACTACACAAACCGAAGACCTTAACTCCACCGGGCACATTTATTATCGCACCTGAATCTAAGTTACGGCAGCCGCTCATCCGCTCGTTTGGGACGAGCTGTGTGCACTGCTCAGAGTCCCCGCGTCTGCGACTCGTGTGTGGGGGTCAGACCACCACACTGAAACGTGTAAATTCATACTAAAACAAGTGACCCAATCTTATTGTAAAATCAGTGCGCTTCTGGGCGAGATTTGACTAGTGGTGGACGATAAGATGTCATTTGGGTCGTACCTTATGTGACTGTTGTATCTCGTGCATGTGGAGCTTTTATTGAACCTTTCTAATGAAAAATGACCGGCTTTGTATGTGTTACATCATATTTTGTATTTAATATTTATGTACAATGAAAGACAAAAGTCGTGTTGTGAAACTTGGTGAAAACATATGCCGAAGGGCTAACACTTTTGGTGCGCTCTGCCTTGTCACAACTTTTGTCTTTGAATGTACGTATAAACATATTAGTGAGATCCATATAAAATATACTGAAATTCCTGTTGTCATAATGAAGGGCATAATTTTCATATGTATTAACAATGGCATTATCTCTGAGAACTTCAATAACTGCCATTTTCACCTGGAGAGAGAGAGAGAGAGAGAGAGAGAGAGAGAGAGAGAGAGAGAGAGAGAGAGAGAGAGAGGAATGATCGTCTGAGTAAGTTTCATAACATAAAGGAGTAGCTTGCAAAACACAACATTATTGTTACTGTTGCAATAATTTCATTATAATTATTGATTATTGCATATATGGTGCAATTTATCTCTGTCTAAAGGAACAGACGTTACCTGTGTTTTACCATGGTCGATTAGTTAAATTCTTGCTGTTTCACGCGGGTTGAGGAACAGGAGTTAATAATGTGGAATCATCGCTTAGTCCACCCGCCCTTCCCTACCAAATTTTAACTGTCTTCAAAACCGTGGACCCGCAGGTAGGGGATTGTTGTCAGTCACACAAAGGTTCTAATTAACATTGAATAATTTAAGACTTTCAGTAATAAATTTCTACATATACTGTAGGCCTTAACTCTGACCTACTGAAACTAAAACATGCAATAGTAATCGCTAACCTTATAACGTTAATCGCACCAATTCGTAAAATGTCTAAACAGTTCCTTTAACAATGACTACTAATCACGGTAAGCTAAATCGTGGACAGTAAAGAATCTTTTCGTATTATAACAAGACATAAGTGATCGCTGTTTATCAAACGCCTGCCGCTGGTGCTGCTGTTTGCCGGAGGTGACTGATCCTACTGGCCTGGACGATCACTTCTATTAATATAACATTGACTAAATTATATAATGAGTAATTCCTCTCTTTCACTCCTGTTTCTATTTTACTGTTTTTTCTTTCCCTTTATCTTCTATTATTCTCTGCGTTCATTCTCTAATGGACGCCATTATTATTATTATTATTCTTATTTTTATTATTATTCTTATTATTCTTATTATTCTTATTATTCTTATTATTCTTATTCTTATTCTTATTATTGTTATTATTATTGTTATTATTATTGTTATTATTATTATTATTATTATTATTATTATTATTATTATTATTATTCTTATTATTATTCTTATTATCTATCGTTAATAAGGTTGGATGATGTATTGCACAAAACTGGTGGATTTACTGTAGTTTTTAAATTTTTACGGTCATAGGCAAACAAATGACCGCCTTTGTGTTTGTTGCATCGTATTTCTTTATGTAATATATACAGGGTACATGCAAATAGAAACATGTCATTGATATCCATATAAACTTTAGTGAAATTCCTGTTGTCATAATGATCAAGGGCACAATTTTCACAGGTATTATGAATAACATTCTCTCTGAGAACTCCAATAACCTGCCATCTTCACCAGGAGAGAGAGAGAGAGAGAGAGAGAGAGAGAGAGAGAGAGAGCAACATTGAAAGAGGAAATGTGGAATCATTTGTTTGTTCGTATTGTTTACTATTACATTCAGAACGGAACGTTATGTGAGGTGTGTTTAACATCATCAAGTGAGAAACATTTAGTTTCGATACTGATTCGTTCGGAAGGAGACACAGGCTTTTTGAGGTGACTGTACACCACCACCAGGTTAGTGAGTGCCTGTGTCAGGTACAGGTGACCAACCAGGTGTTGACAAACTGTACATCACCACCACCAAGTTAGTGAGTGCCTCTGTCAGGTACAGGTGACCAGCCAGGTGTTGAAATAATTTACATCACCACCACCAGGTTAGTGAGTACCTGTGTCAGGAACAGGTGACCAGCCAGGTGTTGACATACTGTACATCACCACCACCAGGTTAGTGAGTGCCTGTGTCAGGAACAGGTGACCAGCCAGGTGTTGACAAACTGCACATCACCACCACCGGGTTAGTGAGTACCTGTGTCAGGAACAGGTGACCAGCCAGGTGTTGACATACTGTACATCACCACCACCGGGTTAGTGAGTACCTGTGTCAGGTACAGGTGACCAGCCAGGTGTTGACATATTGTACATCACCACCACCAGGTTAGTGAGTACCTGTGTCAGGTACAGGTGACCAGCCAGGTGTTGACATACTGTACATCACCACCACCAGGTTAGTGAGTGCCTGTGTCGGTACAGGTGACCAACCAGGTGTTGACATACTGTGCAATACATCATCACCAAGGCAGTGTGTGCCTGTGTCAGGTACAGGTGACAGCCAGTGTTGACCATCACCACCACCAGGTTAGTGAGTACAATGTCAGAACAGGTGACCAGCCAGGTGTTGAAATAATTTACATCACCACCACCAGGTTAGTGAGTACCTGTGTCAGGAACAGGTGACCAGCCAGGTGTTGAAATAATTTACATCACCACCACCAGGTTAGTGAGTACCTGTGTGAGGAACAGGTGACCAGCCAGGTGTTGAAATAATTTACATCACCACCACCAGGTTAGTGAGTACCTGTGTCAGGAACAGGTGACCAGCCAGGTGTTGACATACTGTACATCACCATCACCGGGTTAGTGAGTACCTGTGTCAGGTACAGGTGACCAGCCAGGTGTTGACATACTGTACATCACCACCACCCAGACTAGTAGTACCTGTGTCAGGAACAGGTGACCAGCCAGGTGTTGACATACTGTACAATGTACATCACCACCACCGGGTTAGTGAGTACCTGTGTCTCACCAATAATGACGCCATCATATACCTGTAAATCCACCTCCAGACGTCTATATATGCGTCTATGTATATACAGTAATTACAGTGTGTAGGGTCACCACCTACGTACTTAAACACAAGTGTTTCTGCAAACATTTAAGTCTTTGTTATGTTTACTTTGTGTTTTGAAACTTATTTAACATCGAACAATTTTGTTGTACTTTATTTTTTGGCTGTTTTCTTGAATTAATTATTACGTTTGTCTATGTCATTTTGGTATAGACGTTGGGAGGACCTTTTCCCAAACATAGGTATCGCTCCTTTTCCCATATTTCCTGCAAGAGTTTTTTTTATTGTTGAAGGATCTTGTGGTCTCCTTCACCTCAGGTAAAGTTGGCAAAGTCGCCTGCACTTATACCTGGTACAGTGGCTGTCACGTTTTGTGAGATGTGGCCCTAAGGAACCTCACAATAGTAACCAGACTAAGGATGCTAGTGGTGATGGTATGGTGTGTGGGATGATGATGGTGGTTAGTGTGAGGGATGATGATGGTGGTTGGTGTGAGGGATGATGATGGTGGTTGGTGTGAGGGATGATGATGGTGGTTGGTGTGAGGATGATAATGGTGGTTGGTGTGAGGGATGATGATGGTGGTTGGAGATTGTGATGGAGGCCAGGGAGCGGAACTGAGAGACAATTAAATTATCGGAGAGTTTGGCTGGGCAGGTGCCAGTGTGTCCCACGATTCCGACGGATCATTTGTTGTGTTGTGACTCGAGAGACTCGTGTAGTGCTGCCTCACCTCACCGTCCAATTAACTCCAGTATGACTTGTGTACTTGGGTCGTGGTGTTTGTATATCAGGCTTGTGATACAGTAAGGTTAGGTTGTGATTCCTTATGTATTTGGGTTGTGACGCTTTGTTTATATAAGATGGTCAGTATGTATACCTGGGTTGTAGCACCTGTTGGGATGAGTTATGGTACCTGTATACACCTGGATAATGGCGCCTCTTTACACCTGGATTATGGCGCCTATATACACTTGGGTCATAACACCTCTTTACACCTGGATTATGGCGTCTCTGTACACCTGGATTATAACACCTCTGTACACCTGAATTATGGCGTCTATGTACACCTGGATTATGGCGCCTCTATATACCTGGATTATGGCGCCTCTATACACCTGGATTATAACACCTCTTTACACCTGGATTATGGCGTCTCTTCACACCTGGATTATGGCGCCTGTATACACCTGGATTATAACACCTATTTACACCTGGATTATGGCGTCCATGTACACCTAGATTATAACACCTCTTTACACCTGGATAATGGCGTCTCTGTACACCTGGATTATAACACCTCTTTACACCTGGATTATAGCGTCTCTGTACACCTGGATTATGTGGCCTCGAAAAACCTGAATTATGGCACCTCCTTACAACTGGAACATGGCACCTCCTAACAACTGGAATATGGAACCTTTATACACCTGAATTATGGCACCTGTATACACCCGGATTATGGCGCCTCTATACACCCGGATTATGGTGCCCCGAGAAACCTGAATTATGGCACCTCCTTACAACTGGAATATGGCACCTCTATACACCTCTACACACTTGGATTATGGCGCCTCTATACACCTGGATTATGGCGCCTCTATATACCTGGATTATGGCGCTTCTATACACCTGGATTATGGCGCTTCTATACACCTGGATTATGGCACCTCTACACACCTGAGCTGCAGCACCTATATACCTGGGTTGTGACGCTGTACAGACTAATTTTGTCATTGCACCATAAACTAGGAAAATGCAATTCAAAATATACGAATGTTAGAGGCATGAGTTTAAACTTTAAATAAATATGTTGGCATAGAATACGATCAGTGGGTTAAATATTGAGCAACTGTTATTATGAAATGTAAAATTGTAATTCATATCATATTCTCTACATAAAATAAAGTTTTTTCATATGTCACTTAGGTTTGGCGTAACAGTAAGTCCTACATATACCCGAACACATCAGTGACGGGTTACCCACATGACCACCAACACCGTAAACCCGTATCTTGGCTGAGTACGGTGAGGTAAACAAACCAACACTTATTACTACTGCAGGTGTCACTCAGTTACCCAGCGAGAAATATTTCCCTTCTTGATCTGTCATGATACTAACACACATAAAACTACAGTAAGGCAAATTTAATGTTTAGTTTGTAAAGAATGTTTACATTTGACACTAACCTAGGAGGCAGTTACACTGATTACAGGTGAAGTGTATGTACCGTGTTAGACAATACAGGTGTGTGGGTGGTGGTGTCAGCCGCCTGATCCTTAACACACAGCGTGACTGGTGGCTTTGTGTTTACATATATTTATTTGCTCTTGAAAGAATTAAAGAGGTGTGTGTGTGTGTGTGTGTGTGTGTGT